CATATCTAAGTCTTTGCATGATGCTCTATAAATGGCATCTGCAGGTGATTTGTGGTTCAGTGCGGAGCGTAAGTGATATGGATGAGTCCAGTCTCTTAAAGATCTTAAAAAGCAAAGAGGCTTTAGCAGTAACCTGCTTTATGGATGGAGAAGGAGAGACAATGGCTGAAGGGAGTGAAATAAATCTCCTCTGAATGGAGGGAGAGTAAAAGTTTATGAATTAGCAGCATGTTAATGTGCATTCGCAGCAGGTCCGCGAGTGCTGTAAGCGAACGGAGAACGGCTCTCTGCTCAAACACACTCTTTGGGCCTGTAATTTAAACACACATGATCTAACCCAGCTCTCATATGCATTTACTGCTCATCTCATGTACAATAAAGGTCAGCTTCCACAGAGTTAGCTCTCTAAAACATCAATCTACTCAGGTTTAATTAACATCTGAGGCTTTGCTCTGCATGTTAATGAAGACGGTATTTTAAAGACATGTTCTGGGTGAAATGCAAGTAATGTTAGAAATAGAAATATATATGAATGTTTTGCAAGTTCTTAACTTGTACTGAACCCAGAACAGTCATTTAAAGAAAGGGACAAAATTAAAAGTATAATCTTATGGTTCCAAGCGACACGTGACTCATGCAGTTAATGAGCCGAATGCTGTGAATGTAGTGATATATATATTCACATATACATGCACACTGTGAATCATATCAGTGAACATTCGAGACATTGTCATGAACCGCAGTGAAGCTTTCCGATCCATAAAGTGAAATGAATCCTTGGATTAAAAGGGCAAATAATGATAAGGGCTTAAAGTTCTCCGGCGCCGGATCTCTGGCGTGCAGCGTTTGGCTGTGGAAAAAAATAATCCTACATTTAAAAAAAATAACTTGTTGATATCACTTTCGAGTTCATGAGTTCGGTTACCAATGGTATGAGAGGAGCACAGCTTTCACTCTCAACCAAGCTAACATTACTAGCCAATCAGACTTATAAACACGAGATACGCATAATAGTATCCAACTGCAGAGTCGCAGCCCTGATGAATGGAGAAGCGCGACATGTTGAAAAAGCTGCGAGGCGCAATGGTCAAAGATGTCCATCTAGCGTATATTTATATACTGTAGGAAAACTAAAAAGCAGCGGAGCTTTGTAAACAGCTCAGAGTAATCATGTCATCTCCATAAGAACGATATGATTGCTAGAACAAATTTCGGGATTTTTGAAAAGGTCCTGTTTACACATGATCTCTTAATGGTAACTTACCGGTAATTTACCAGTACTGTATGTGTGAAAGGGGCTAAACTCTTCCTCCGCATATGCTGTGAATTTGAATTGCTTAACGTTCATCTGGGAAAACTGTGTGCATTATCTCACTAGATTTGTAACGTAAATCATTTATAAACCTTTGCCAACACAGGAGAATACATCGACCTATTTCTAAATATGCCATTTATTGTACATAGCGTACATTCAAAATAAAAGTTTGCATGTGCCCAAATATTACAATTTAATGGATTTAAACATGGTTTAATCACGCTGTAAAGTGAAACGTCACCAGGCCGTTGGCGCCCTCTGCAGGTATAATGTACTTAACTTGGTTATGTTCATATTATATATAGGCATATTACATTATGTATTTTAAGTGTTGTTCAATAAAACCATGTAATTACTTGGTTTTGATATTTTATTTGAGCCCATTATTATTGCCTCATCGTTAGTTTATATATAAATAGTCATACTAAAGCCTGGTTTTCACTTAGGTTTATTTGTGTTACTAAAAAATATCAGATTACTCAATTATCAAAATAATCAGTAGATCACGTGATTACCAAAATAATCATTAGTTACAGCCCTAGATTAATTAAAATATTTCAAAATACAACTGCATTGTTTTACTTTTTGTAATTAAAAATTAAAACATTTTGTCATTGAAAATATCTTAAATATAGTATTAAAATATTGTCTCTGTGTGTGTGTGTGAGTGTGTGTGTGTGTGAGTGTGAGTGTGAGTGTGTGTGTGTGTGTGTGAGTGTGTGTGTGTGTGTGTGTGTGTGTGTGAGAGAGAGTGTGTGAGGGTACGGGTGTGAGTATGTGTGAGAGTGAGAGTGTGTGAGTGTGTGTGTGTGAGAGTGAGAGTGGGTGAGTGTGTGTGAGGGTGTGAGTGTGTGGGTGTGAGTGAGTGAATGTGAGTGAATGTGAGTGAGTGTGTGAGTGAGTGAATGTGAGTGAGTGTGTGTGTGAGTGAATGTGAGTGAGTGTGTGTGTGAGTGAATGTGAGTGAGTGAGTGAGTGAATGTGAGTGAATGTGAGTGAGTGTGTGAATGTGTGTGTGAGTGTGTGTGTGTGTGTGTGTGTGTGTGTGTGTGTGTGTGTGTGTGTGTGTGTGTGTGTGAGTGTGTGAGTGTGTGAGTGTGTGTGTGAGTGAGTGAGTGAGTGAGTGAGTGTGTGTGTGTGTGTGTGTGTTCTTGTGTGTGTGTGTGAGAGAGAGAGAGTGTGTTAGTGTGTGTGTGTGTGTGTGTGTGTGTTGGATGAGCGATTGATGACACACTCTTTGTCTGGGCTTTTAGCTGCTTTTAGCTGCGGTGTTTGTGTGTGGTTTGTGTGTTTGTCAGTGTTTGTGTCGTGCTGAAGGCTCTCAGGGGTTCGTGCGGCTCCAGTGTTTTCTCATCTCTCTAATGATGATGAAGAGTCGTTAATGACAGGCAGCTAATCAGCCGGAGAGCAACGGGAGTCCTAAACCAAGATGGGTGGAAGAGATGGAGGAGTTGATTTATATTTAATGATAGCAAAGATAATTACTCTGATTGAAGGATGTTCTTACTAGAGACTAGTGGACTTTCATTTTTATATATATATATATAGAGAGAGAGAGAGAGATGCATAATTTGATGCTATACAAATGATATACAAATAATTACAAATACGATATAATGTGCTTACAAATGTTTTAAATGTTTGCTAGTTAATTTTGTATTTATATTTTTATATAAAATACATGATCATATATGAATCAGAAGTTTAATAGCATTTGCAAGAATTTTAATGTTCATTACTGTAATTAATCATTATGTAATGTTCAATAAGTTCATTGGTAAACATTTAGGAGCACATTATCTCATGTTTGTAGCTATTTGAGTATATATTAACTAATGATCTGTTAAGCATTATATAATGCTTGTTAATGATTTATTGATGCAAGTTATTATTAGGAGTCAACAGAGTTTTTAAATCTATTATTTAATAGCATTTCTGGGAGCTGTTTAACATGTTTGTGAATATTTTTTATCAAAATCGTTTCACAGTTTTCCATTAAACTCTCACAGAAACGCTTCACCTCACAGCATTGGTTTCAATCCCACAATCCCTTGCATGAACCATAGAGAATGAGCTGAAAACGGCCCGTCTTACCGTATAAAACTCGCTCGTCTGCACTGTGCAGTAAATCATGTGGTGTGTTGGGCTAAATTTAACATCACATTTAGTCATTTACCGTTCTCTCTGTACGGTTCGTAGGCACATTATCTTTCATTTTTCATCACTAGTGAGATCGCAGCCTTTGCTAATGTAATTAAGTGCCGTGTGAAGAGTGGACGAGTGTGTGTCTGGACTCTTTCTTTCTCTTAGTGTGAGAATAAGGCTGCAGAGACACAGCTTCAGCTTCAGGGTGATGCAGTTAATGTGATGTAAGCCTCATTAGGTGAAAAGCATCTACTAAATACCAAAGCAACTTCATTTAGTTTTCCATCCTTTTCTCTAAAGATAACCCAGTCATTAAACATTGCAGTTATGGACAATCTGCCTGCAGTTTATGGCCCAGTACATCCAAATGGTTTTATGAGACAATAATTGGGGACATTTATGATTATTATTATTATTATTATCATTATGATGATTATTATCATCATTATTATTATCATCATTATTATTTATTTATTTTTTATCATTTTATTTGAATTTTAAAAATATATATTTAATTTTTTATATATTTGTTATCTATTTTTTATATTTTATTGCATTTTGTTCTTATATTATTTTTAATTTTATTGCATTTTGATTTTACTTGTATATTTTATGTTATTCTTTATTTTTATTTTATATTATTTTTATATTATATATTATTTAGTTTTATTGAATTTTACAGCACTTTGGTGCAACATTTGTGGTTTTTAAATGTGCGAACTTGAGCTTGATTTTGCTTATTTTACTTTTTTTATTGTATTTTGTTTTTATTTTATCTATTATTTTATTTGACTTTTTACTTGTTTATTTTGCTTTTATTTATTTTATATTTTAATTACATTTTATTTTTGCATTTTTTTATTTTATTTTACCCAGTTTTAGTTTTATTTATTTATTTATTTATTTTATTTTATTTTTTAATTTTTACATGTTGTAGTTTTTGCATGCTGAATTGCTGGTGGTTGCCAGAGCGTTGCTGTGCGGTTGATAAAGTGATTTGGGGGGGGTTTCTAGTGTATTCTGGGCTGGTGTTAAGTGGTCACTTGATAGTCCAAATCAAAAGAGCCTCAAATCTCTATAATACTCTGTTCTAATAGTCTCTAGATATGACTCACTTTAGCACTTAGGATAAGGCCTTTGTTTAAAGCCTCAACCGTTAGTAAGAGTAATAATCAGCAGTACTGATAACAGCACACAGTCTTTACCACCAAAGCAACACCTCAAAACATCAGCCTGAGGTGTGTGGCTTCCCTCCATCCTTGGCTTTTCATTTGCTTTGCATTCAGAGCCCCAGTGATAGCCGACAGCATTTAAAAGGCAGTACTGCTGCGCTCATTAAAGCTCGCCGGTCTCCAGCCCTACATTTCACTGCCATGCGTGACGTGTTTGCCAATGAACTGCTGCTGTCTGACAACTAATCACAGGTTGTTTTCTTCCCCTCTTCCCATTAACCTCCCTCTCTCTGCTCCTCTACCTTTATTAAACGCTCCCTGCTCTCCATCTTAATCTACGTGTCCTCTTCTCTTCTCTCTCCCTCCAGGAGCAGTCAAGGCTTCATGCACATGAAGCTCTCCAGGACCAAAGACAACAAGTACGTACTGGGTCAGAACAGCTGCCTGTTCGACAGCGTTCCCGAGATCATCCACTTCTACTCCAGCCGCAAACTACCAATCAAAGGGGCCGAGCACATGTCCTTGCTGTACCCCGTGGCCATTCGGACACTATAGAGGCAGAAACGCTGCCGAACCAGGACATTTGTTCAGCGTTTACAAGACAGCGACAAACTAAAGTGCTACTGAGATCCCGAAGGCAAAACGGGAGACTCCTGGAAGCCTCATTCGTCTCGTCTCGAGGAACGTGATTTCTCTGTCCTTCAAATGCCTTCTTCATGATTCCAGACCCGTTTTCTCCCTTTTTCCTCACATAAGTGGATCTTTAGTCTTAGACCTGCACCCACACTTTATCTCCACTGTTACACACTGTACAGAAACCCGAAATGTCGCTCAGACTTTACCTTTCGGATGTTTATAGTTACGATTTCTGGACATGTGAATCATTAGACATTCTTGAACATTAAAGCGCCACAGTAAACGGAGAACAAAGACACTGAATCATACTGAAGCGAAACCTCATCGTCTGGACTTTCTGTGACGATATTGTCAATCAGTTGGGTTCGGTGAAATATTAGCTAATCATTAAACATGAACATTTTCAGATCATACAGTAAAATAAACCCCAGAAGACTGAAATCGAGCATTCAGCATTTTCCGGTTAGACCCACAGATGTGAAGAGTAATCGCTACGCAGACAGATCATTAAGTCCCTTAAAATAGCAGTAATAGCGCAGAGCGAGAGGAGAAGAGATGGATGGTGCCATTTAAGTGCACTTGGACAGGCGGCTATGCAGATCAGCGTGAAAAAGGACCTTTTAATTTAACGTTCAAAGAGAGTCACTTCATACACCAGAGTATAGGATGATCTTGAGCAAGGAGAATGAAATATTCCTGCATTGTCTACCTCAGAAAATCAATTTCGTTCGTCCATCCGCCGGTCGATAAGGTACAGTGACGTTGCAGATATCGATCGTCTCAAGTTCCCACCAAATTTTGCCTTTTGGTTTGAGCATAGCTTCTTCCTTGACCCTGATTTCTATGCTGTTGTGACTCTGTTTGGTTAATGCCTTATACTGTAAATGCATGGATTAAAAAAGAAAACAAATGGAGAACGCTGTCGTTCGATGAATGTTTAGTGGCTGTAATTTATTATGGAGAAAAAAATAATGCTATTGCTGATGTTTTAGTCCAGCTAAGACACTGTTCTTGGCCGGTGTGTGTGTGATATATCTGAACTTTATAAAGTGTGTCATATATCTGACGTGTCTTCGCCATTGTCCCCACCTGAATACGCAGATTTGTCTTGACCCTTCCTCTGACCTCTGGTTTTCCTCATTTGCCATCGTCCGGTTTCTTTTGTGTCGTTGTTTCTCTCTCTCTCTCACTCGGCGTGTTTGTTTAAAGCATGATGCCCGACACAGTCGTGCTACAGATATAAAGCCTGTGTGATTGGATTACTGTCAATCCTTGTGTTTCATTCTTGTTTTCAGTTCATCGTTTCCCTCTCTGATACAATTTTTGTATTCTTTCAACCCTTAAAGGGACAGTTCCACCCAAAAAATGAAAATTGTCATAATGTACTGACCTTCATGTCATTATTTTGCTGAATGTCGGTCTTTGGCTGTTCTTCTCCATACTGTTAATTCAGAAGAGTTAATGCAACTTCAAAAATGTTAAAAAATCACCCAAAAGGTATCAAAAAGTATCATAATACTAATTTTAAATATGCAAGAAATACAAACATTTTTTTGAAATATTATAACAATTTCAAACGGCTGTTTTCTATGTGAATCTCTGTTAAAGTGTAATGTATATCTGTGATGCGCAGCTGTATTTTCAGCATCATTCCTCCAGTCTTCAGTGTCACATGATAGCTGTTTTCTATGTGAACATCTGTTATAATGTAATGTATTTCTGTGATGCGCAGCTGTATTTTCAGCATCATTACTCCAGTCTTCAGTGTCACATGATCTTCAGAAATCAGTATAATATGCTGATCTGCTGCTCAACAAACATTTCTGATTATTATCAATGTTGAACACAGTCGTGCTGCACAATATTTTTGTGGAAACTGTGATACATTTTATTTTTCAGGCTTCACAGATGAACAGAAAGTTCAAAAGAACAGCATTTATTTGAAATAGAAATATTTTGTAACAATCTAGTAACATTGTAACATTGATATAAAAAAAACACAGCCCAAACAGTAGTGTAGGTGACCTCAAAGCTAACTGGCTAAATGGACATGGAGTAAAAACTCTTAAATCTCATTCATGTACATTTAAATATGCCGTATCAAGATGCAAATTGTTTGAAAATGCATGTTTGTGAGTAAATGACAACATCATTTTCACTTTGGCCTGAACTGTCCCTTTAAAAGATTATAAGTTAATGAGGATTGAGGTAAATCTGCATGAAAATCCCAACTGGCATGCATTATCACTCCAACATTTATGCTTAGACTAACGTCTCCATGACATGCACCACGCTGTGCGTCCTTCATGCCTTTACACTGAAATGTCAAACTGTGAATGCTCTCCACAGCATCTCATTATAAACTGGTGTAGGTATTTTCCAGTCATTCTGTAACTACTAAAATGCCTTTGTGTTTCTGTCATGGGCTCAGGAGAGAGAGAGAGAGACTGTTTTAGATGAGTGTGTGAGTGAGTGATGTGACATGTGGCCAAGTATGGTGACCCATACTCGGAATTAGTGCTCTGAATTTACCCATCCAAAGTGCACACACACAGCAGTGAACACACACAAACCGTGAACACACACCCGGAGCAGTGGGCAGCCATTTATGCTGCGGCACCCGGGGAGCAGTTGGGGGTTCGGTGCTTGCTCAAGGGCCCCTCAGTCGTGGTATTGAAGGTGGGAGAGAGCGCTGTACATTCACTCCCCCCACCTACAATCCCTGCCGGTACAAGACTCAAACCCACAACCTTTGGGTTACGAGTCCGACTCTCTTACCATTAGGCCACAACTCCCCCATCTGCCATTCAGTAGAAACGTGCTTTAATAAGAGAGCAGAGAGCACCGGTCAGTGCACTCACACACTATAGAGGAGAACAGAGAGAATCAAAGAGAAGATGAATGCACTGGATGTGTGAGAAGAATATGATTATGTTTATAAATGATCCCAGTGCTGATTGTATTGGTGTATTACAGGAATCAGTGCAGTAACTAGTCTTTGGAGATCTAAGTCTTACAAATGTATGAATATCATTGCATTATACAACAAAATCTAATCTAAATGGTGTTTACTTAAAATAAATGTCACAGGCAAAATAGTTCCAAAAAATATGTTTGTTAACAACATATTTGGACATATTTTATGGTTGTCAAAACATTAATAAAAATAAAGGTTCTTTTTTTTGGCATTGATGGTTCCATGAAGAACCTTTAACATCCATGAACCTTTCCATTGGACAAGCTTCTTTAGATTATTAAAAATGTCTTCAGACTAAGAAAAAAGCTTCTTTCAAAAACTGAATTTTTGAAAAAAATCACAAATTTGGAACCTTTATTTTTAATAGTGTCGATCCTGTTCTGAACGACGTACTGCATCTTTTTAACTTCAGACATTTACTCAAATCACCACAACTCCAACTGATCCATTCTAAATGAATCTGAGAAGAAAACTTAGATCTGAGAATTAATCTGTGCAGTAAAAGCCATACATTTTTAATCATGATTTAGGTGTCGACTTATTAAAGTTTGTTTTAGGACTTTATTTTATGGATTGAAAATCCAGATTATTGGTCATTAAACATTCAGAGTAAAAATACCATTTCTCTTTATTATAGGCAAACAGACGAGATCAGGCGTGTTAGACAGTTGTTTAGAAGAGAATGAAATGTTGGGAGATTCTGAACGTCTTGGGAACGACAGAGGAGTAAAATAAATGAGTAAAACACCAGAGGAACTAGAGAAAAGAGGACAGAAATGAAGACTGAAGGATGAGGGAGAGGAATGGAGGAGAGCGGATCTCTGTCTGTAGCTGTGTGCGTGAGTGTGTGTGTGTGTATGTGTGTGTGAGAGTGCGTGTGAGAGTGTGTGTGTGTGAGTGTGAGTGTGTGTGAGAGTGCGTGTGAGAGAGTGTGTGTGTGTGTGTGTGTGTGTATGTGTGTGTATGTGTGTGTGAGAGAGTGTGTGAGTGTGAGGGTGTGTGAGTGAGTGTGAGTGTGTGTGTGTGTGTGTGAGTGTGTGTGTGTGAGTGTGTGTGTGTGTGTGTGAGTGTGTGTGTGTGAGTGTGTGTGTGTGTGTGTGAGTGTGTGTGTGTGAGTGTGTGTGTGTGTGTGTGAGTGTGTGTGTGTGAGTGTGTGTGTGTGTGTGTGAGTGTGTGTGTGTGAGTGTGTGTGTGTGTGTGTGAGTGTGTGTGTGTGAGTGTGTGTGTGTGTGTGTGAGTGTGTGTGTGTGAGTGTGTGTGTGTGTGTGTGAGTGTGTGTGTGTGAGTGTGTGTGTGTGTGTGTGAGTGTGTGTGTGTGAGTGTGTGTGTGTGTGTGTGAGTGTGTGTGTGTGAGTGTGTGTGTGTGTGTGTGAGTGTGTGTGTGTGAGTGTGTGTGTGTGTGTGTGAGTGTGTGTGTGTGAGTGTGTGTGTGTGTGTGTGAGTGTGTGTGTGTGAGTGTGTGTGTGTGTGTGTGTGTATGTGTGTGTATGTGTGTGTGAGAGAGTGTGTGAGTGTGCGTGTGTGTATGTGTGAGAGTGCGTGTGTGCGTGTGAGAGTGTATGTGTTTGTTCGTGTGTCTTTGCATGCGCGCGCGCGCGTGTGTGTGTGTGTGTGTGTGTGTGAGAGAGTGTGTGAGTGTGCGTGTGTGTATGTGTGAGAGTGCGTGTGTGCGTGTGAGAGTGTATGTGTTTGTTCGTGTGTCTTTGCATGCGCGCGCGCGCGTGTGTGTGTGTGTGTGTGTGTGTGAGAGAGTGTGTGAGTGTGCGTGTGTGTATGTGTGAGAGTGCGTGTGTGCGTGTGAGAGTGTGTGTATGTGTGTGTGAGAGAGTGTGTGAGTGTGAGTGTGAGTGTGTGTGTGTGTGTGTAGATTTCAATATGTCTGAAATGAGTTTGTGTACATTTTCTTCCATGTATGCACTAACATATCTGTACAGTTCCTCTCAGCAAATGTAAATACTGAATGTATTGTTCGGGGACGTAGAGGCTTTGAGATTCTGACAAATAAAGTTTATGGGTCTAACTTAACCAGGTGTGCAGTTCTGTCAATTAATGCCTGGGGTTACTGGGCTAATCTGGGGACATAAACAGCATTTTTTTATTTTTCTAATGTCTTATATTGTGGCATCCTATATAATGGTGTTTTTTTTTCTCTGATATATTTTGTTGTGGCACCCTATATTCTCCTGTGCATGTTTGTTTGTTTATTCCTTTTTCTTTTTATTCATGCATTATTTTCCTTTCTTTCTTCATTTATTTATACAAGTACTTGACATACTTTCCTTTCAACGTCAGGATTTTAGGATAATATTTTTATTTATTTATTTATACTTGTTGTGTTGCTAGATGTTTCTTCTAAATGTATTTGACTGTTTTCTACACACTTTTTCTCCCTTGTTTTGCTGTTCACTGTAATTTGACCAAACCTTTAGTGTAACACGGAGGTTTTAGAAACATACAGCAGTTCCAGTCCTCAGATTTGATCGGCTGAGACACAACTACCGGCCAGTTTTCATCTGAAACGCAAGATACCTGATATTAATTACCTGCTTACTGAACTGTTGTATAAGAAATACTTCACTCACAGTCCAGTTGAAATGACATCACAGCAAACCTGATTATACTTAAAAATGTAAAGCATCAACTGAGCGCATGTTTTTATGTTGAATTAGGTGGAATATTTTAACAAAGCTTTCACTGCTTGAAGTCAGAATATAAAAAGACTTGGAAGTTCTTGAAATATTGATGGGAGGCTTAAAGGATGAATTTGTAAATGCAAAGCTGTTTCTTTGTAAAATGATCAATATAAATACCCTGACATTATCTGTCACCATAGCAACAGCTGATTCTCCTGTCAGTCAGTGTGTGTGTGTGTGTGTGTGCGCGCGTGTTTTCAGTCGATCAGGACTGTTTCTGCTCTTCAGACTCACACACAAGGCTTTAGTTATTATCCTATAAAGTCAACTTTGTCCTGTTTTTGTTTAGTCAAGTTTCAGTCGAATAAATGTCCGAAAATGTTTTAATCTAGTTATAAACTAATTTTCATCATGCTGTATAATGGTTAAACTAATCATATATATATATGTAATATGAAGAGTTAATTTGCAAAAACAGATAACTCCGTTCCTAACAATTTTCAAAAATCATGTTTTTTTCATTTTGCATTCCATTTAATCTCAATCAAACTGCAGTTGGGTTATTTTGATTAGGTTAAAAAATAACAAAAAAATACAGCTAACTAACACAATAAAACACAAACACATGATTTTTGAAAAATACAAATTTGAAAAAATTAAAAAAGTTATTGGTTTTTGCAAATAAACTTCATATATATATGAATTAGAATTATAATTGCAATGATTGTTGTCATTTGAGAAATTAATGCAGGTATTGCACTTTCACCAATAAGCACAAATCAATAGAATGTGGACTCACACACATGGTTTATTTTACATCATTATAGGCTATTTAATTATCAAATATTAAATTAATATCAAATACTTGGATATGCACTCTCTGTGTACATTCTGAAAACT